ACAAACGTCTGCTCTTTCTCTGTCATGTACAGAAACAAAACCCTCGGTGCCAGTTTCCCCTGTAATTGTGTCCTGATGGAGGAAGAGCGCTCATGCTCGAGGTTTTCTTGTGATTGTACCATGTCGAAAAATGGCTGAGGACGGAGTTTCCACTGCCTGGCTCTACTGCCTCCTGGCCTGGTCTAGTCTGTGCTCAGGAACAGGCTTTTCATTGAGGCTTGGTGGTGTTGTGTGGCATGTCCAGCCTTCTTCCACCCACCGGTGACTAGTCGTTTGTGCATATGGAGTTCAGCTGGGGTTAACAGGCTCCAGTGGAGCGTTTCTGGACAGCTTTGTCTGAAAGAGGGAACGGTCCCTTTTCTTGATCCTTTCTTGACACGCGCTAGATTTTTTTTCCTGCAGTAAGATGATCTGGGTTTAAGCCCTTGTTAAAGTGTTTCAGTTCTTACTTGAGAAATCCTAACTAGAACCAGACACTCATGCCTGTATCGATGTTTAGCATATATGATACAGCGTATATCCTTGAAAGCTGCTGTCTCACTTCTAGCTAGCTAGCTGCTATAATCAACAAGTAGAGATAGGCATTAAATTTTAGCATTCATTTATGTGCTGAGTCAGAGGCATTAATCGTGGAGGAGTAGAAACCCCACCATTTTTGGGAAGTTTTCTTACAAAGTATCGGCCTAGGATAAAAGATTTAAATGGACGCAGGACATTGCTCAAATTCAAAATTAATTGCTCTTGGGAGTTGATATATACCATTAATAAATAGTTCACGAAATTCAAAGCGTCATCATACAGTTTGCCCTCCAGTCATGATATTTTGGTGTCTATATCGTTCCCCATATTCACTGTAATTGTCATACAGACCTAACAACAGGGGTGCTGCCATTTTTGGCAGTTTTCTTGAATTTAGGACAGGGTTTATGCCATCTTAACTTAGGAAATTCTTTAGCTAGGACAGTTCTGTAATAGCTAAACTCTTATCTGATAAGATTCCTAAATGCAGTTAGGAAACATGTTTCTGTAATACCTAAATGTTATCTTAAACTGAGATAGGATTGGAAGGAAGATAGGATTTCAGACTTAGGAATTTTTTGTAATGAGACCTCTGCAGCTTATCCTGACCTCTAACCTTTCTCTAATGATGATATCCCTACACGCTCCATAAACTTAAACATTGTCATTGTTGGCAGTTGAGCTGAGTCTCTTGTTAAAAGTGACCAAAAGGGGCCATACTGCTTAGTATAAATTGACTATATTACATTAATGCTAATGATTCTCCAAAGAATGCCAACATGTTTTATAGTTGATTGATTTAATTTCTTCCAATGGCAGCCATTGCTTGGAACTTGCCATAGATTTCTAATTTGAACATTTAGTTACCTTTTTTATTTAGAAAATTTATTTTGTTTTTATTGCAGTAACTATTTAGGAGGTGTGTTTAAGGATATTATTTGGGAGCAGCTGTAGAAACGCATTGCCTTCAAAAGCTCTGCTCAAAAGCTCAGAAAACGTTCAACCTAATTTGTTTTTGTGTTTTACTGAAAGTATTTCAGTTTGACTGCCAAAGTCATGGATCACAGGAGTATTGCACAACAAGAAGCAACTGACAAGTTGTGAAATGAAGTCACACCAGGGGTATATATTTAAAACAATAAAATGTAAAGTATGTGCAATTTGTAGTTAAGCTGAAACATGCAACAGCAATAAGTTTGGGATTTTAAGACAAGTAGCAGAGTCTGAAAATCAGTCCAACTGTAACATAAACAGATACACACAAATATTACTTAAGGTCTACATATCTTTGCATTTGCATGTAATCAATGCAGAGGTCTGTTTTCGTTGGATGCTCAGGGAGTGGTCTTCAGTGAGGTGGGGTCGGGGTGTATATAAGAGGGCAGGGCCAGGGGGAGAATCTTCCCTCCCTCTCCACAGACCACTCAGTGGTGAATGACGGCTTCTGACATTGTTGCCCGCAGGCACGCATTTTGCAAGAGCTGGTGAAAAAAAAATAGCAGCATAGAATGTCAGAGACAGCAAAGGGAAGAAAAAAGGGAGGAAATCTGAATCAGTGACTTGAACACTCCCACTAAACTACAGGATCACACACTCTGAAGCAGTGTTGCAGGCCATAAGAAGAAGTCTCATAAAGTAGACAACATCTGAACCTGCAGTGGCTTCTGTTTTTTTTTTATCACTGAGTTAACTCCAGCATGGCGATGGAGCAAAGATTCAGAAACTACTCCTCTGACAGTGTGGGTAGTGACGGGGTTTTCATAGAGGAATCTTACTACCAGGGGATGCTCAAGGCCATGGATCACAGGAAAGGTAGAGTTTGTCATTGACTTTACATCATTTCAGTAGTACTGGCTGAAGTTTTATACTTTGATTCAGAAATTTAGAAAACTTTCACCACAGCTCATTGTTGCTCTATAGTATAGCTGAAATGTATAAAAGTAGATTCTATGTCTAGAACATAGAATCTACTTTTGTCTGCAGTGGTCTTCTGCCTCTCTTTTATCAAACGGGCCACGCCCCTTTATGTGTCATGGCCTTTCCTCATTTTATTGGTCAACTGTACTGACACCCATTTTGTGACCAAAGACTAAGCAGTAAGATGTCTGACAGTACTTGCTTTCATATTACTAGTTTGGTTCAGAAGGTAACTTCTGATCTGCATCTTTGCAGCTCAGAAGAAAGGCCGCCTGTTACACTGAAGAAGTGAAATATAACTTTACTTGCAGAATGACTGGTTGTTTTCTCAAACTATTGCACTTCATTGCTTCAAACTATTGCATTTCAAACTATCTGACAAATCTAAATTATATTACAAATACATTTCCCTCTATGTGTTACAGTTGCATTATTCAATAACAGACCAATGATTTGCAGATATCACGCAGCCACACTGCGATGTGCAAACAATGTTCTTTCTGGAGACCTGATATCTCTCACCTCATCATAAGAGTTTCTTTGACTCTGAGGATGAAAGGAAACATCCACATCTCTGTCTGCCGCTCCAGGCTACAAAACTCACCCAAGCAAACACATTATTTGTAAGAGGGATCAGTAAAGTTGGCTTGTCTTTGTCATGTATTTCACTGGTTTGAGTTGTGGAATGTCAAGTGCAGCTTTTGTATAACAGTTAACATGCAAACAGTTTGTTGCAGGACATGTGTTCTACAGGACAATGCTTTTTCTCTTTTTTCATCACACATACTCAGCCTGGATGCAAATTCATGTTCATGATTGAATTAAATAGTTTGTCTCTGCTTTTAAGGTTTATGTCACTTCTCTGTTTAGAGTCTGAAATAGTCACGAGCGTGTTTGTGACTCATCCACATAATGCCACCCTGCCATGGGCGTTGGCACCACAGGATGTCGTCTTCTTTGGTTTCTCTGTTCCCTCTTCATTTGATCACTTCTGTTCTATGAGCTTTGATCTCAGTTCCTATTCAGACAACGTAATCACGCTCCTAACACTGTGACTGACTAACCCTAATCAAACATGATGGTGTTAACTAATTTAAAAATCTGCAGCAGTAAAATCACATGGTGTTGACTCTTAATTAAAAGCTTTTTTTCAAAGACAGACATGCTTTGTTACCTCACACATGCCTCTGTGTTTGATCACCACCCTCATCACTTACTGAAGCACCACGGAGAAGAGGTGAAAGTGTTCTGTTGGGTGGTTATCTCTGCAGAGTATCAGCATGGTTGAAATAATTCAGAGAAAACATTGCACAATAAATACAGTACCTGCTGGTATGTGAAAGGCTTGTTTCGATTTATCAGACCGTGATTACAAGGTAGAACATGTTCCTCTAGAGGTGTTAATCTGTCGGAGGTAATTTACTTGTGTTTCACCTGACAAGTGCAACACCTTTTTTTCCCATTGTTTTGATGGACTGACTTTAAACCACCAGTACAGCCACTTTCTGTGTCACCTTAAGTATCTTCTGCTGTCTCTGTTCATGTCACATGTTCAGCGCACTGGTTTCTGGCTTTGGGGAAGCACAAATATTTATCAGACCGTTTATTACTCTGAGAAAAATGTTTTTATGATGTTTCCTTGTATGGGGGGACCATAGCTGGGGTTTTGATGTTTTAGATCATTAAATACAAATGTTTTCTGCAAACCAGCTTCTAAAGCAGTGGTTTCCAACTCATGGGTCAGGACCCTTCTTAGGGGTCACAAAGTAAGTCTTAGGGGTTGTGGGATTTTAGATGGGAAATAGATGGGAAGCAGATACAACACAAAATTCTGTTCTAATTCCAATTTCTGCTTTTTTCTTGTGTATAACATATACACATGAACTGTCTCAGGCCTCTAAAATGTATAAAAATAAATCAGTCTAAGAAGTAAAAGTTCCCCATCAGCTAACTGATCACAACTCAGTGCAACCTGTGATGATGGGAAACAAGTAGACTTTTCTTTCTCTGAAGAAGTAATAGATCAAAATGTTTGGGAATCCTTGTTCTAAAGTACACAACCTTATAGTTTGCGATCCTCCAGACAGCTTTTAATGTAATTCATTACACTACACAGAATTCATTTGCAGAGACTTTGAGCTTACTTGAGATAGGTAATCATCTCAGTGAACATTGTAGGTTGTGTTATTTTTGCATGGGAATCTATATTTTCAATATTGGTGGCCAAACAGCAACTTACATGAAATGGCCAAATTCACATGACTCTAAAAGCATTATCAATTGCACCAGACAATAGAAGTGTCTTGATCTTGATCAAAGTTAAGTTAATATGGAACAACAACCTTTAATTAAAAAAATAAGACAAAATATTCACAGTAATGGATCATTTATCTCAAGCAAGTTTTATGTCTCTGTAACCTCAGTTTTATAGCATGTGGATAATAATGGAAACCAGAGGTTTGCTGGAAGGCTAGAAATTCATAAACCAGTATGTTTTGAAATAAAAATTCAGCAGTAATGTTGCTGTACATGATGTAGCTTCTGTTTGATCTGTCACTCCACAGATGAACGGGACCGAGTTCAGAAAAAGACCTTCACAAAATGGGTCAACAAGCACCTGATGAAGGTAAGAGCCCACAACACAAATACTTCACAACAAATGTACATACGACTAGATTATGAAACTGAAAAAAAGTGTTTTCACTTGCTGCTCATTTGGAGCATGTAACTCAGTGAGAATGACTCCAGCTGTCCTTAAATGACGATAAAGTTTGTTCTGTTTTAAGTCAAATTCCAGCAGTTCCTTTCATATCCCACCTGGTTATAATAGCTTAGATTACACAAAGACGTTTCTTTTGTAGATAATGGGCATTCTGATCTAACCGAGTCTGGAAAAAGTTACCTGAAAGCTTCAACAGTTAAACTGGAAAGAGAGTACAAAGCAAAATCCAATTTTCATTCCCCGCACTCTCTTGAAAAAAGTGAAACGCTTTGGAAAAGGTGAAAAACATTATACAAATAACTTCTCCGCACATCCACACATGCTATTTGTGTTATCTTTATGCGTTTTAGGGAGTGAGTCACTAACACCTGGCCTCACTTTAGCTGGCGCTCAGGAACAGTGGCATGATCGTGGGCCGGGTTTGGTCAGGTTTCACATCTGGATTCCAGACTGTCAGGGCGGCTTCTCGGAGCTCTGCAGGGGAACAGGAAGCTCCGGGACTGAACTCCTACACTGGATGTGGGGTCCACTGCTAAATATGTTTGCAGCCTTGATACTATAAGGAAAAACTTGTAAAGCGTTCTGGCCCATGACCCTTAGAAAGGATATACTTTCTACTGCATATGTAGTATGCAAGTCCCTGATCTAAGTAGTAAGCTAAATGACTGCAGCTGCAGTAACTTCAGTATTTCCATATCAGTTAATTAGTGCTGAAACGAAGAAAATCTATAGACTACAACTGATCATTTAAGTGATTTATCAAGCAAAACATTCACTGGTTCCAGCTTTTAAATGAGAGCATATGCTGCTTTTATTTTTTTATTATCGTGAATATTTTTGTTTTTTGTATTTTTGGTTAGACAAAACAAGCAACTTGTAAAGGGCATTTTTTCTCATTTTATAGACTAAAAGATTCATTATTGAATCTACTCAATAATTATACTAACTACATAAAAACAGAGTAATCAACAACAAAAATGGTCATTATTTGCAGCCCTACAGATGCTTTCCTCTTTAGTTAATCAGTTTGTTACAGTCAAATGAATGTATCATTTAATCAGCTAAACAACACAAATAATAACAAATACTTTTAAAATGATAACAGAGCCTGGAGTTTGAAGAAAATCATTCTCATCTCATCTGAAGCTGTTATCTGCAAAGTTTTGATGATTTTGCTTAAAAGTTGGCTAAAACACTCAGTTATCATAAGGACAATCAATCAATGTTCTACCGACTCATTGAGCTCATCAGTGGGAAGGAATTTTGTTTACCATTTTGAGGTGTTGAGTAGGACTGCAACTAACAATTCATTTCATTATTTGTTAATTGATTATTAATCATTTAGTCTATGAAATGTTAAAAATAGTGGTAGAATGCTCCCAGTGCTGCCTTCAATTTACTTGTTTTGTCCAGCCAACAGCCCAAAACATAAAGATATTCTGTTTACTATCATATATGACAAAGAAAACAGCAAATCCTTACATTTGGGAAAATGAAACCAGAGAGTGTTTAGCTTGAAGGTTTTTTTTTAAATTAAAAATGACTTAATCGATTATTAAAGTAGTTGCAGATTCATTTTCTGTTGACCGACTCATCGATTAATTGACTAATTGTTGCAGCTCTAGTCTTGTTTAAATACTACCAGCAGGAAAAAGGCAGAAGCATACTGATAAACATAAATGAAACATTTTTGGTCACAATTTATAAATTGTCTTGTGACATCTATAAGAGGAGAAGAGCATGTGAGAGAGGACATTTCTGTAAGACACTGAACTAAAAACTACCCTGTAAACAGCTCATGAACTGTAATGTTATGACATCAAGAAAAGAAGACACCCATGTATTTTGTCTATAATAGGGATCTCTCAGGTTCCAAGTAATAATAGACTATTTAAATTACATAAAATACAAACACAAATTGCAGTTGTGTTTTTACTGAACTTCATTTATATACTGTAGCCGTGTTTTCAGGGAACGTTTTTAGCACCTGTTAAACTGAAGCACAGCGTGGCTGTACCTGAAATGTTTCGGCAGTCTTACTGCAGCTCAACCGACACATTCAGGTCGATGAATCTTTGTTTTCACACGGGAACTGAAGTGTGTTAAACTGTGAGGAATGTCTGTTGGTCCTCCATGTGCGTCCTGTGACACGGGGCTCTGTTCGGGATGACTCACAGGCTTTTGTCGTCAGTCGTTGTTTCTTTGTCTGGAAATCCCTCAGATTTGGGTCCAAAAGACTTGAGCGGGTCGGCGATTTGGCTGCCCTCAAGGAGTTTTGGACTCGTGGTCACAAAAGAGTCATGGGATTAAACTATGAGGCCAGGAACATTTCCGTGGTCTCTTCAGATTATGCAGAATGGAAACCGGACATTATTCTGTGTTTTATGTATCACGCTGCAATCTAGATCAGATTACAAGAGCTGAAACAGATTTACATTCATAAAAATAATACTGAAAACTGTTGTAAAAAGTTGTTTGGATGGTGACTAAAAAAAGAAGCCGTCTTTGTCTAACATCTGTCAAGTCAAATCAGCGTCTGCGTGTTTGTCTTTTGTTCTTCTTCTCCTTCACGAGTCCCTGCAGTTTTATATTTTCTCTCATCAAACTGTTTCTTCTTTCCATCCTTCATCCTGTCCTCCCATCCTTTCCCATCAGCACTGGAAGGCAGAGGTAGGTGCTGTCTGTGAGCAGAGTGCTGAGTGGACACATTCATTTCTGCCTGCATGTTTGTGTTAACATTTTAAACCTCTCTCACTACACCATACTTTACATGAGCTCCTTAGATGCTAACCTCTGACCCTTTCTACCTTCATTTTAACACTTGAACTGCTGTAAGGGCCATTTCTGCAGTGTAACTTATCTTTACATGTTCTATACTCAGTTTAATAGCTAATAAATAAATATTACATATAGAGTAAAGTTAATAAAGCACTAGGGGACATGCATCAAGTCTACATGGAGTAGCTAGTCTTGTTAGAGAGTCTCATTATTGATTTTTTTGCAAACTGCTAACTGACTTTATTTCTGCTATTAAGGGACACAGCAAAATCACCACATGTGAGGTGCCTAGAAATTCCCACCCTTGAGGTGATGCATCAAGATATCGAATGGAATCGAAATCGTTGACCTGATAGTTGTAACCGAATCGAATTGAATCGTGAGACCAGTGAAGATGCACACCCCTAGCGATCACCCAATCTGTCCTTTGAAATCATTTGTTACATTTTGCAGACCCACATTATGGTACAGCTTTACCCTGTCGTACCTATAATAGCTGTGTGTTCACGGCTTTTCTATGCAATTAGGGATTAAAGCACTTTTTAGTACACTCACTTTTGTTTTTGTGGTTGAGATGATATGGTGTTTGATAACCACTGATCATCTAACTTTCCATTGTTAACCAAGTCGTCTCAAACAATACTTTACCCAGTGTGGACCCAGTTGCCACTGCAGAAGGCAGACAGTAACTCCTGTGCCTCATTGTTGTGTGTAGGTTCCCTTTAAGTTGCTTTATTTATTTTTAGGTGACATTAAGGGATTAAGTCAAACGTGTCTGTGCCTAATGTGAAATTCCCGTTATTAGTGTTAAGGTGGTCGTCAGTTCCTGTACTGTTTTGTATCATGTGTGAACGCAAACGCAGTGGTTCACCACCACCGCTGACATGATGGGAGACTGATTGATTTCTCCCATGTTGTGAACTCTCCCTTCTTCTCTCCTCAGGCCCAGAGACATATCACTGACCTGTACGAGGACCTCAGAGATGGACACAACCTCATCTCCCTGCTGGAGGTGCTCTCTGGAGAGACACTGGTGAGCTTTGGTGGACTTTAACTTTCAGATTTTAGGACCTCTGCTTCTGCTGTAACCCTCTGTCCTGTCCAAACCTTTCGTATTGCCCCTGCTCCCCTGTCCTAATGACTTAATTTGCTGTTATATTTGTTGTATTGTCCACTCTACTTGTAACCTGAACTGTTCTAAATGTTTTCAGTCAGTTATTATTGTGGTTGTTTTCTTGTCTCCACTCTTGCATGTGTTGACTTTGATTCTTTCAAGATTTATGGACATTTCAGAACATGCTGAGGTTATGCGCACTCTTTTACTTTACTTGTCTTAGCACTGTTTTTTTGGGGAACACACCTTGTGGTGTAACCTTAAAACACTAATTTTTATTCTTTGCTTCCATCTCTTAACCTTTCTGCACTGACTTGTTTGACACCTGGTTTTTCCTTTATCTAATTCCTGTCTGCTGACCTTTGCCCTGACCTTTCCCCCTTTGCCTCTGCCTTCCTCTCTTGCGATGCTCTCTTGCTGTGGTAGCCGAGGGAACGTGACGTTGTGAGGAACGTGCGGTTGGTGAGTGGCGCCTGGACTGTGGCTGGCCGCCTTCTCGGGCGTGGCATGTGTCACCACCCCAGGTGGCTTCTGGGTTGTGCATGATGACAAGTCACACTCCCTGTATTGTCCCCTTTCTGTATCACCATTGTCCTCCTCCATTTTAGCAGTGAGCTAGCAGCGTCATATAAGGACATAAGAAGTGCCCGTAGAGGTTTTAGTGGAATCATTTCTGCAGTTTTATGGTTGTGATTTTTTGTATATGAAGTTGAGTAATCACATATTTTAAATTAAAGTAAAATTTCATTAAGAAGGGAAGAGTGTGTCCTTGAGAAAAAGTACTGTCCATGACCCTAATGTAACTGTTTATTCCTGCCTAGTTAAAGGACCATACTATTTGAGGAAATCTTTTTCATAAGTAGAATTGTAATATTGACCTAATCCTTTGTCTTGTGGATTTGATTCTCTGACAACAAGGTTCATGAAATGCTTTTCATCAGTGGTTCATGCCTGAATGCACAGACAAGGAAATGTTTAACAAAATACTTCCTGTGTGCATCTGCATCACCAGGAAATGATAATGTAATTGCGATTAAATAAATAAATAAATGTGACTCAGTTCTATGAATTATCTCAAAGACATATACCGTCTCTGCGAATTGATTATCAAACTTTATTTAATAGCTGCAGGTTGGCTCGTGGAAATTATAAATTGTTATTTTATACTCTGAAAGCTTGCACAAGTAGTAGTTACTACATCTACAAACCACTGGTATGGTAAATTGTCAAACTGAATTTTCAAGTCAAGGTTCAAGCCTTGGGTTCCCTCACTGAAAGCAAAGGCAATCACTGCAAGTTGAGATGTTGGCTAATTCTGCAACAAAGCTTCATACTGGCTTGAAGCTTAAAATGTGGAGCACCAATGCATGTCTTGGCCATCAGTCCTGGGATAAGTGTCCTGTGCAGGTTTAGAAATTGTGGATGTCTGTGGATTCTGCTTGATTGGACTGCGCTAAAGATAAAACCCAAGGGCAATATAAGATGTAGAAGGTTGGTTTCATAGGGTGCAGGAAAAAAAGTTGATTGTAGTTCTCAAAGAAAATGAGGATTGTGACTGATGATTGGGGAAACCACTGAGGCTGTGTATCATTCATTATCATGCTTTCACCTGCAGACATCCTGGCTGGTTTGTTAATGCATTTCAGGGTCATTTAGTGGTCTGGTGTCTGGCCAAACGCTTTGATCACAACCACGCAGAATTTGAATCACACTTCAAATTTGCTATATTTTAGTTTTAAGTTAAGACCATGACTGTAATGTTTTAGACAGTAGAATAGATTTTTTCTTTAAACACAAAAGGTGTTGTTGGACACTGAAACACCTGTTCCTCAGTCATGGGGTTCTTACTGTTTGTTGATCATTGAAACCTCATATGTTGCCTCCTCCTGATGTTTGATCTTCTCGGCTCTTACAGCCACGGGAGAAAGGCCGGATGCGCTTCCACAAGCTGCAGAACGTACAGATCGCCCTGGACTTTCTCAAACACAGACAGGTCAGAAAATAATTACATTTTTGATATATCAAATGTGCATTTTGATTTAGTTTTCCTCCTTGTAGAGTTTTGTTTTATTTACCTTTTTCTTTGATTGTTTTAATTCAGGAAAAATATTGTGATAAGCGCCGCATAGTTTTATCTCATTGTCTGATATACAGTTTGCTCCCCATCTCTTTACTGTGCAAATAAACTTAAACTAAAAACTCACCATTCAGTTGTAATGGTATTCATGCCCCTTTCAGGTCAAACTGGTCAACATCAGAAACGACGACATTGCAGATGGAAACCCCAAGCTGACCCTGGGGCTGATATGGACCATCATCCTTCACTTCCAGGTAACATGGGACACTTTTAAGGGCTACCTTTGGTATAAATCACTGTATTGTGGCAGTGAAGTTAAAATAGCCCATTTTAAAGAAAGTATCAGACACAAAAACTTGCATTTACTTGCATTTTGCTTATATTCAAAGTGGACTGACTGAGTCATGTTTGGAACAGCTGAATCACATTTCCTGAAGTACATGTCGTGTTTATCTTTTAAACTGCACATTGGCACTTAAGTGCATAAGATCAAACTCTTCCATTGCATGAGTAACATGCATTTTATACAGTTTACCATCATCACATTGTGATTAGGTTGCTTCCGCAGTACGGTAAGGAAAATCAGAGTGCTGTTCCCTCTTTGCGGTTCAATCAGCCACAGTTTAGCCTGATGTTGACACAGCAGTTACAGTACAGTGGAGTCCAACAGTCAGTCATTTCCAAATGGGCTTTATTGGACATTTGGCAGCACTTACGCTCTTATACACAACTACCACCACTTCTCCTGTCCTTCGGTGCACACAGTCTAAACAGTGAAAAAAGCTATTCATTCATTTTTAAAGAAGCATGTTCACAATCACAAGCCTTTTAAAAAAAAAAATACTATTTTCTGTGGTCCTGTGCAACTCTATATGTTGCCATTAAATCTATATAAAACCTTGTTCTCAAACATAAACATAAAATTGCCCATACCACCTATTGCTGCAAAGGCCTCATTGGAGGAAAGCATTCGTCAGTGGGCAGATGTGTTCCTGATGGGGAAGAGGCGTGTTTGGATATTCTTTTAGCAGATGGTTTAGCAGATTTTGGAAGAAAGACTGGGAGTACATGAAGATTCTTTGATGCTATAATGGGTAAGATGGTTACACTGGGATGTGGATGTGGGCTCCTTTTCCTCATCCAGTGTGACTCAGTGATTCCCTTGAGAAAGCTGACAGGAGACGTGGGCGTGACAGCTCAGGACCTCAGAAACTTGAAACTGCAGTGGAAGCTTGAGAAATAATCTCCCACCATTTGTTTTAAATTATATTAAATAAATGTAAATACCTTTTGAGAGGGACATTTTGTCTTTGCTGTTCAAGAGATTAACGACAAAACTTCCATGTAGATACATTTAGGCTGTGTTCACAATGCAGGCCTTAATGCTCAATTCTGATTTAGTGCTCAGATCTCTCTCTCTCTCTTATGGCTTTTGTGGAGCTTTTTTTCATTTAACGCGGCTCCATCTAGCGCAGAATTGTGACAACATCCTCTCTAGAGTGACAGATCAGAGTCGCATGAATTCCGATCTGACTGTACAGACTGAGGTTGCATTTTTAAAAATCTGAGCTGTATCTGATTTGGACCACATATTAAAGTGGCTCAAATCCGAACTGGAAAAGATCAGATTCCATGTGACTTGGGCTGTTTACACTGTTCAAAATCAGATCTGAATCACATATGAACAGAAAAATTGGATTTGGGTCACATTGATCTTTGGCCTGCAGTCTGTATGCAGCCTTTTGCCTGTAGTCTGTACGCAGCCTTAGTCATCAGGCAGCTATTATCGCTTCAGAAAAACCCATAATCTCTTTGTTTTGGCACATGCTAGTAATCACAAACAATGGTGAATTTCCTCTGAGCTCCCCAGGTGCAGGTTGCAGTTTACTGATACGCAGGTGACTAGTATAAATAATGGGCCTGCTTCGTGACAGAAAGAGTTGGGATTCTCCCAACACTCGTAAAAAGAGGCTGCGAGGGCGGAGGTCCTGTTTCCATTCAGCTTCTGAGTCACTTTGTGCCCACGTCCACACTGCAGCACCGGGGTTTCCCTTCTGGAGAGAAAATAGCATCCTCCACCCTTTCTTAAAAAAAGAAAAGTACTGTAAGTGAAATTCTTAGTTCTGCTATGACTCATGAGCATACAGAATATTAGATAGTTGTAATAAAGCCACATTTTCACATAAGACATTCATCAGGACTAGAAATTGCAAACTTCACCTAATGCATAACGTGCAGCAACTAATATAAAGTTGATTTACCTAATTTTTCAGATGTTTTTCTGGTCTTTTCTATGAGTAGACACCAAATATTCAAACAGAAGTTGCAGATATTTATTTTGAGCTGATCAGAGCCCTGAGTAGGTGGAGTTTTCTGCATCAAGACAAAGTCAAATAAAAACCCATACATAACTTAAAAAGGTTTTCTGTTAAACTTTTTAGAATGTGTGCCCAGTTTTATGGATAGCCCCATCCATCTAGTACATCAGGCAGACCAAAACAAATACCAAGGACTTTTTATAAGTACCGTTTGTACATCTGATTATAGATATGGGACAGGCAGCAGCTACTGGGTAATGGATTGATGTAGACATCAAAATCAAATTGTTACATTGTGTCAACACAGTGCTGAAAGTTACCTTGTAAAAGACATCTGTATTGATTAAACCTGTAGTTTGTTTTGTAGTCTGTCGTCTTTCACGTAAAAAAGAAAATATTGCCGAGGGATTTTTTAGTAGTGTGTTCAGAGCATAACCTCGGAGCTATTAAAAAAGAACTAGTCCGTGGGGGTTCTGTTACACAGTCGAACATTCATCTACAGCACACAAAGTGTTTATTGAGAGTTTTTGTTTGGAACAGTTTAACTTTATCAGATCAGTGACTCATAGAAGTTTTCACTCTTATGATTTCTATTTTGCTCACATATAACCACACAGCATTTTTGTTTGCCTCCAAAACAGTGAGTTTAATGGATTTCACGTGCCCTTCAAGTAAAAGTGGTGCTTGTTATTTGAGGTTTAAAATGTGACTCATCTCAAGTCTGGAAGAAATCAGTGGTCAACTGGGAAAGTTTTCCTACGCTTCAACAAACACTTCAATCATATACAATACAGGAATATCAAAGACACTGTGAATGGTAGCTTTTGTTATGATGATTAGGAACAACTCTGTTTTGGTTGTGGGTTGTTTAATTTGCCTTACAAAAAAAGTGACTTCCAAGAAGATCGTTAAAACTCAAAAGGAACCAGATCTAAATATCATCAGAATGCAGCCCTGCCCAAAATGCAGCTAAAAAGAGCTGCAGTGCGAGTGCTCAGAGATAAAAAAAAAAAAAAAGAAGAAATGACATATAAATAAGTTTACTATCTGCTCAATCTGCACCCTATATCGCTGATTATGTGCACCGTCTCCTCCTCCAGATCTCAGACATTCAGGTGAACGGCCAGTCTGACGACATGACGGCCAAAGAGAAGTTGTTGCTTTGGTCTCAGAGGATGGTGGAGGGATACCAGGGCCTGCGCTGCGACAACTTCACCACCAGCTGGAGGGATGGAAAGCTCTTCAACGCCATCATACACAAATACAGGTGAGACACTGATCGTCAGTAGATCAAAGTTAGAGCCCCTAAGACTATCATGTTTAGGGGTTTCAGTCAAACTGGATACTATTAAATTGGATGTGCGGTACTTTCTCATAAGCTGTTTTGGATAAAAGTGGAAAGCTAAGGGGATGAGATACAAGACCTGGTAATGCATTCAACTGTACACTAATACATTGCATTGCACTAATGATGTGAGAAATGTGATTAAACCTACTTGTACAACAACAGTGACACAAAATGATCATCTAAGAATGGACGTCATGGAGAATTGTTGCACCGAAGCATTTTTCAAACCATGCAGAAACATTTTCTTGTTAGAGAAGCTTGCCTGGACTTGGGATCTTGTAACACTGTAGGACATGAATTTTACACATAGGTAAAAAGGTCTTCTCTGTGACCTTTTGCATATTTCCTGTGCCTTTTCATATTTATTACAGTACAGTATGTTCAGAGGCAGGAATGCCAAATTCATATTTGAGAGCACACTTGACTTGTCAGGACAAAATATGGATCGGTTATTGTAAATTAAACAGAGATAAACATCAGCTCAGACTTCCACCCCAGTTCATTCAGTCATTACATTTCTGACCAGAATTCTCTATGGTTGCAATTTATTTAACCCCCCATTTAATATAATGGGGGGTATAAGCAGTATATAAATAAATAATATAGAACACAATGTAATGTTGTTGTAAGCAGATAACTAACTAGATCTCCTCCTGTGAAGTATCCATAATAGAATGATTGACTATATAATAAAATGTAGCTGTAATCAAATCAAATGTCATCATGAGAAAAGACACTGACTAGTTTAGTTAGTTAGTTAGTCAAACTACTGTCTTAGGGAAACAATGAACTTTGAAGCTAAACTTTATCTATATCTAATTAATATAATTAAATACTGTGTTATCATGTCGTTTATACACAAGTTATGAAATAATTATAGGAGAAGTTACACTTAAAACCGTCCTTATACAGTATCTGCTATCAACTAAACTAGAGCATTATATGAGTATTTATGAACTGCTTCTAAGTATTATAATCCTGATTTTGAGTATCAAACAGCAGCTTAGGTCAGCCTAAATTAATGCTGGTTACAATGGTTTGCAGTTGGGAATATAGTATGAAAGCCTCCATTTAAGCTGCCTAAACTTCTCCTGCACCATACAGTAATCAGTTTCTCTGCTGCCAGTCTGTATGCTCAGTATGTTCCAATCACTGTTGCATCAAAGTAAGAATAAATCTACTGCAGCAGATGTTTTAGCCATATTTGGGCACAAATATGATGTTTTGAATATACTAAGGTGTACAAAACAGCAGCTAGAAACTGATTTTGCTGCAGGAGTGGTTTGAAAAGTCTCTATAGATGCTGTGATACTTTTGCTGCTGTGAAAAGGTGTCAAAAAACACATTATAATTTACATGAATTCTAGTGTATCACAACTGCTGTCCACCTTAATAAGAAATCTACAGTCTTTTAATAGCCACCATTCAAGCGTGCTGTAGACTCCTATTTTACACTCAAACCGTATATTTTGGGTGGAGCACCACTTAAAGTCTTTGTGATTGCACAGACAAACAAGCCAGGCAGGATCTCTTACCACAAGGCACAAAAATAACAATAATAATCTGAGTTGGCATCATTTGGTGTTAAAAGAGAGAGCTTTTCTTTGATGGTGTGGGTGTATCACATCAGTCTGAGAAAAGGTTGGCCTGAAGGTATGCTCACCGGAGGCTTGGCAGGTTGTAGCAAAACTCTGGTACATTAAGCGCTCTGCCATAATTCTTTCTTGGTGGAGGAAGAGCAGGACATGCAGAGATTTAATAGCGACAGCGAGGATCCTCAGCAGTGATCGACTGAAACAGAAAGCTGACCAAAAACCCACAAAAACAAGGGAAGTGGATATAATCTCTAAATAACCAGTGGACTTGAGCCTGGAGGAAATCTGTCTTAGCTAGATTTGATTTGTAGAAATTTTTTGTTAAAGCTAACATTTTGACCTCACTCACTTGGAAACCTTAAGTGCTGTGAACTTGAACATTGCTATAATGTTGAGCCTAAAGAGGAAGTTTCACTCCAAGAGGCGTCTGAACAGTGCCTCCAGCAGCACGGTGGGCTCAGTCAGTGACCTGGAGGACCGGGTGATCATGCTGTGCGAGGACGTCCCCACCGAGTACTCTTTCGACTCGGGCCAAGGCTCCCACAGCCCTGGGGGCCACTCCAGTCGAGGCTCCCAGAGCGAGGAGCACGAATCGGGATCAGAGCCTCACATCCTCCACCTGAGCAGGGACAGACCGTCCTGCAGACAGGCCTGCTATGTGGAGAGAGAACCACCTCGGGCACACATAGAATACTACGTACAGAGAGTTGTGCAAGTGTATGAATATTAAATATTAAACTTGGTGTTTTGGAAAGCTTTATAAAATGGGCAGAATTTACTGTACTTTCTGTGTCTCAAGAGATATCTTTCTCTTTGTTTTTTTCTCTTTGGTATTTGTGATTATGAGATGAGCTTTTATCACGTCAGTGTAATGAGATGCTCTCTGCTTGTGCCTACATGTTATTAGGCTGCAGTTATCTTCCTCGAAAATTGCACTCAAAGGCAACCTGTCGGTCTTTGTAGGGTATAAAATGATTCTTCTCTGGCAGTAAGGACTCTGTTTTTGCTTGCACTTCATTATTCATGAAGAAACTGCCTCCAGCATCTTAAAATGTGAAATGTGCAGCATAACTTTGCAGAACATATTTTCACCTGGCAGCTATCATAATAGAATAATGGCTGGTAGGTAAAAAATTGAAAGAAGTTGCAAAACATAGAATGAAGGGTAATGTTGAAAGGTAATGAATGAGTTAGTAATAACAGTGTAACAACCCATTTCCACTCACTGTTCTGTCTGCAGGCCCACTCTGATTGACATGAGTCAAGTGTACCGACAGAGCAACCAGGAGAATCTGGAGCAGGCCTTCAGCGTGGCAGAGAGAGACCTGGGCGTCACCCGACTGCTGGACCCAGAGGGTGAGAGAAGTCACACAGACATATTCACGATCACCCTGAACACTTAACCCAGGATATATTTTAGCTTGTGTGCATTGTTTTTCTTCAGCGTCACACCATTGAAATTAGAGAATACGATATATTCAGAATAAGCAGTCTTATGGTATTGGCCACTGATTAGCTCTACTGGAGTTAAGTGAAGGAAGCTGAGGAAATTCAGGGGTAGCTTTTGATGGAGAAATGGGTTTTTCCCTAAATGTTCACACCTCAACTGCAATAAATAGCGCAGATCTAAGTTATTTTAGTTTAGTATCTATTCGCCCTGACAAAAGTTACATTCCTCTTTCTTCTTGGATTTCACTGAAAAGTAACGTCTTTTTTTCATTTATTTTCCTTTATTTATTTATTTTTTACAGATGTTGATGTGACCCATCCGGATGAGAAATCCATCATCACATATGTCTCCTCTCTGTACGATGTCATGCCCAGAGTACCAGACATTCAGGATGGTGTCAAAGCCAACGTGAGTTGTCATCATTTCATATTTCCTCTAAATCACTATAAAGACATTTTGCAAGCACAGACAAGAAATGTGGTGGAAACTTAAGTGATGTTATATTCTTACTAATATTAGTATTTATAATGGTCACCCTAGTATTTTACATAGCCGTTGTAGCATGGCAGATGCAACAAGGATGCAAGATCATCAAAGCTATGAGGTGTAAGGAATAAGAATGTCTTACTAATATATTGCTTTAAGCATTATCACTATGAAAACATAAAACAGGATTTGATATCAATAAATGTATTATTGTTACAGTATATCAATAAATTTGAAAATATGTAGAAATGATGGGTTTTGGAACTGAGGGTCAAAGCATCAGCAGCTGTGGAAATTCTGTGTAATAAAAAATGTCAGGTCTTCAGTACACTCAGGAAAACTTTATCCTCCAGTTATTAAACTTGACCTGTCTGTATCTGTGCTTCAGGAGCTGGAGCTGCGTTGGCAGGAGTATTACGAGCTGGTCACCATGCTGCTTCAGTGGATCAGGCACCACATCCTCGTCTTTGAGGAGAGGAAGTTCCCCACCAGCTATGAGGAGATTGAGGTGAATGAATCTGGGTCTTAAAAAATATATTTTGACTAATGTAACAGCAGAATAACAACGATGATGAAGCTGATGATAAATGTATTAACCTCTTTTCTGATCTGCAGGTTCTCTGGCGTCAGTTTCTGAAATTTAAAGAAACAGAGCTCCCTGCAAAAGAGGCAGATAAGAACCGCTCCAAACACATCTTCAAGTCTTTTGAGGTGAGTTTCCTATGCAGCTCCAATAAATCTGCCTTCTGACAATAAAGTCTGCCATGATGAAATATGTGCTAAGTTAAAGTAATGTGTTGTGAATGTGACCAAGAAAAATTCCTGAACCCACTGGAGACTAGCACTTTGTGAAACATTTACAGACTGTTAGCACTATGAAAATTAAAACAGTTAAAACAGTGTGTAATATTATCAATTAATCAACAGATTAGAGTCTCATCATTTTAAAAGAATAATCCAGGTGCAATCCATAGCAAAGTGCATTGCACCTGGTTTTCCAACAACGTAGAACATCCTTACAAACGTAATGTTCAAATTCATCACAAGTGGATTAAAAATATATATATTTTTTCAATGGAAGTGGACCTCTCCATAAAAGACGGGTGTCTCTTAAAGGGTGAAAGAAAATATGAATGTATTGCTTGAGAGAATCTAAACAAATTTATTTTATCTGTTTTAGAGATGAGACATCACTTGATTAGGCAATTCGTCATTTTCACTGGTTACAGCTTCTCAAATGTGACTATTTGATGCTTTTGTTTGTCATAGATAATAAACTGAATATTTAAAGGGTTTGGATTGCTGGTTGGGTAAAACAACTAATTTCCATTTGTTAACTTGGGTTTTATGAAAATGAGATTTTGAGAACGTCACCGGGTGATTAATCAATAATGAAAATAATAGGTAGTTGCAGCCCTAATGTGCTTCTTGTTTCGCAGGGTGCAGTTCAGGCAGGCCATGTCAAAGTGCCGCCAGGTTACCATCCATTTGATGTGGAGAAGGAATGGGGTCGTCTGCACATCGCCATACTGGAGAGAGAGCGTCTCCTCAGAACAGAATTTGAAAGGTATGTAGGCATCGATATAAACCTCATCATATGCTCTGTTGCCAAAGCAAACTTAACAAAAAAACCACAAGATATAAGAACAAGAAATGAATCATCACATACCGTGTTACTGTGTGACCATGAGGATGACTCATTTCCTAATGCTAAAGTCCAGTTTGGCAATAAAATACAACTGGGTTGGCTTTGTGGGATGGGAAGTTAAAGTCATATTAGGGCAAACACATGACAACTGTGCCATCGCCACGGCAACACCCTCACAATAATACATTTGATAGTCTCTCATAAATATTTTTTAAATCACAAGGTTGGCAGGGCGTAGCTTTTGGTTTTTCCAGGCTCTGACAAAGTACTGTGGAGTTTAAAAAAAATACCGGCCTGCTTTAGTGGGCAGACAGATCGCTATCATGGCCTTCATGCATCAGGGATACTGGTTAAAGTATTTATTCCGCCATAAGACTGAGTGAGTGCTTTCATTTCTTTCACTTAACTTTAAGTCTACTACTTTAGTTTTACTTTATCAAGAGATTTTACTTTAGTTATTCACATCAAACACAGCAAGAGTACCCTGGAGGCTGTTTTGACTGCCTAAAGAGCTTTTCGACCTTTGACCTCTTCCTTCTCCACTGTAGACTGGAGCGACTTCAGAGGATCGTCAGTAAGGTCCAGATGGAGTCGGGGGTGTGTGAGGAGCAGCTCAACCAGGTGGAGACTCTGCTGCAGACGGTGAGACACAAACCTCAGTTATTATTTTAAAAGAAACGCTTAGAGCCACGTGCAGTGCTGGAAGGTCTTTGCCTCTTTGCTGCAGGATGTGAGGATGCTGAGCTCGGGGAAACCTGCTCAGCACACAGCAGAGATGGAGGCAGATCTGGAAAAAGCGGAAGGAATGATCCGCTTCCTCTTCAACGACGTTCAGCTGCTCAAAGATGGACGCCACCTTCAAGCTGAGCAGATGTATCGCAGGTGCAAAAAGAAATTATTCATCTTTGACATCAGGGCTGCAACTAATGATCATTTGTATTATCAATATAATATATTTGTATTTTTTATTAATGAATTTTTATTCTTAATTCAAAGAAAAGTTACAGTAGTGAAGTTAAAATTGTCAAATTTCTTGTTTTGTCCAACCAAGAGTTTAAAACCCATGGATAATCTTTTACATTTAAATTAAACTGAGAAAGTTTGATAATCCTAACATTTGTGAGGCAGGAGCCTGTGGCAATTTTTATTCTTGATTACTTACAATTATATTATAAACTCTTGTTGTTGATTTATTTTCTGTCAGTAGTAACTGATATTCTGATTCTGACCCTAAGAGTGTATCGTCTCCATGAGAGGCTGGTGAACCTCCGTAGCGAGTACAACCTGCGCCTCAAGTCAGGTGTGACCGCCACACAGATCCCCATGACTCAGATCCACAGCGTCCAGGTCCTGCAGCAGGCCCCCGTGAGGTTGCGGCCTGAACTGGATGAAGTCACCCTGCATTACATTCAAGATCTGCTGGGCTGGGTGGAGGAGAACCAGCGCCGGGTGGATGATGGGGAGTGGGGCTCCGACCTGCCCGCTGTCGAGTGCCAGCTGGGCAGCCACCGTGGCCTGCACCAGTCCGTGGAGGAGTTCCGCTCCAAGATTGAGAGGGCAAAGGCTGATGAGGTACAAACAGCTGACATGAAATATGAGGAAATATTTCAGGAAGCCTACAGCAGAGAGATGCTCGTTCCAGACCTGAATCACCGTTCACATCTCAGATTTGTTCAGTGATTTGTAAACAAAGTAATGGATAGTTTAAGGAGTGAAATAAGCAAGTGCAACTGTTAAATGTATTGATTTGCTGTTGGAATGGTGTTTTAATACATTAGAAACAATTTTTCCCTCCTTGCCTGTTTTATATGATTGTCTTTTTTGTAACTTTTACTCTTTTTTCTTCTGCCTTTGCTCTATCTTCTTCCTCTAGTGTATAGTGTTGTGTCGGTTTGTATGATATACAGGAATCAAACAGAGATTTACATCTTAACAGATCAACCTAACATCTCAGACAAAACAGCATCTGTTTTTTTTGCCATGAATGGTTGTTTGACTGATGTTTTTTTTTTAATATGTTTCTGAACGTCTGCTCCAGAGTCAGATCTCACCTGCCAGTAAAGCTGCCTACCGTGACTATCTGGGAAAACTGGAACTGCAGTACGGCAAGCTCCTGGTAAGTTACAAAAAAGGGTCTATAAACTGTCTTTTTGTTGTGCAGACAGAGGCGATATGCCTGGTGTGAAAGTATTGAATGACAAGGTATCTGCAGGTCTTGAAAGTCTTTAAAAACATTCCACAAATGCCTTCCAAGCTATTAAAAAGTTACATCTGAGTTACAAAAGTCTGAAATATTTTCTCTTTCATGCTGCAGGCAGTAATGTTGATGCAGTAGTCGATTGTGCTGCAGGAGGCTGCCCAGTCCTTTTTTGTGGCATTTCAGTCAGCACCTATAGTAGGAAGGTCATCATCCGACAATTGCCAAATATCGATTTAAGCAAAAACTACCTGACCTTAAATTAATTAATTTGTGAATCCATCTATACATACATTTTCTACCTCTTATCCAGGTAAAGGTCACATTAGTTTAATTAATTATCATTATAAATAATTGTCAAATACTGCTGGGAAGTACTAAAAAAATATCAGACATAGTAAATAATTGTAGCCCATATTGTGGTTTTCCATCATTCTTTCATACTTTGGCTGGTATAATCATGAAATAGGTATTAAATGGTATGTTATGTTGTATTGAATGTCTTATTTATTATTATTATGCACCAACCAGAGACTGAGCTGTTGCAATGCTAATTGTCCAGCAATTTGGTAGAGGTTCAGTAAAGTCATAAACAGCCTGAATGTTTACTGTGATGTTACCTTTTAGCCTGTTCCCCATTAGTTTCCTTAGAACCAGTCTTCTAGTCCCTCAGAGGCCCTTTATTATAGCATCTTTGTCATCTGCTCTCTTGTAGAACGCCTCTAAGGCCCGACTGCAGTACCTGGACCAGCTTCACGCCTTCGTCACTGCAGCCACCAAAGAGCTGATGTGGCTGAATGAGAAGGAGGAGGAGGAGGTCAACTACGACTGGAGTGAACGAAACACCAACATGGCAGCCAAGAAAGAAAACTACTCGGTAGAGAAAGATGTTCTAACACCCGCACCGCTTTCTAGTAATGATTTTTGCGTTGCAACTCTGACTGTCGTCATTTGTGATGAGCAGGGTTTAATGAGAGAGTTGGAGCTCAGGGAGAAGAAGATGAACAATGTCCAGGCCACAGGAGACAAACTGCTGAGGGACGGACACCCTGCCAGGCAGACTGTAGAGGTAAGATTATTTAAGATGGAGAAGGACAATCTTGACAACTACAGTCTATAAACTCACTATGATATTGTATATTTTTGTCAAAACACCTTTTCCTCCCTACTACCCTCCCGCCTCAGGCCTTCACTGGAGCTCTGCAGACTCAGTGGAGTTGGATCCTCCAGCTGTGCTGCTGCATCGAAACCCACCTTAAAGAAAATACTGCCTACTTTCAGGTATGTTTACTAACTTACACCACAAGACTTGATTACTTAAAAACAGCTAGTGTCCAGTTTAAATGTGGTCAGTTTATACAAAAAGAATTATCTTTATGTGTTTGTCTTACTGTTTCTGCCTTTAAGTTCTCAACTTGTAAACAACACTGCAGCTTAATTTCTCCACTTTCTTCCTGGTCTAGTTTTTCTCTGATGTGAAGGAGGCGGAGGAGAAGATCAAAAAGATGCAAGAGACAATGAAGAGGAAGTACACCTGCGACCGCTCCATCACAGTCACACGGCTGGAAGATCTACTGCAGGACGCAGCTGTAGGTTTCACCAATGTGTTGTTTACTTACCAAACACATCAAGATACTGTTATACTGTGGAAGAGTACAGCTTGTTCTGTGTGCTGATGATTTAAAGCAGCACGAGGCGCTTTAGCGCTGTGGTGAGGAAAGATAACTGTTTTTACTCCTGCTAAATGCTTTCTTAGTAAAGCTTAACAATAATAACTGTGCAGGGAACACCCGTTTTAAGTATTTAGTGAGTCCTGTGTTCTTCACAGGATGAGAAAGAACAACTGACTGAGTTCAAAACTCACCTGGAGGGCCTGAAGCGAAGGGCCAAGACCATCGTCCAGCTAAAACCACGTAACCCTGCTACAGCAATAAAGAGCAAACTGCCCATCCAGGCCGTCTGCGACTTCAAACAGATGGAGGTATTTGTCTTGTTTTTGGACACGCACAGGATTGATTCATACATAAAAATCTAATAAACCATTAAACATTGTAAAATTCCAAATTCTTAATGGAATATCAAGGTGTTCAAAAGTTGTGTCCAGCTTTCAGTTTACTTTTAATAATGTGAAATGATTTCTTAGTAAAGACATAGGACATTACATTAGTAGATTCAGTCTGTTGACCAGTCAGACTTGAGCGTCTGTGTTTATCTTCCTTCAGATCACAGTCCACAGAGGAGATGAATGCGCTCTGTTGAACAACTCGCAGCCTTTCAAGTGGAGGGTGCTGAATGATAAAGGCAGCGAGGCGTCTGTGCCGTCCATCTGCTTCCTGGTTCCACCCACCAATAAGGACGCTGTGAACAGTGTTGCTGGGTGAGCAAAGCGTTGAACCAGGGTGTCTTAGATTTGTTAAAATCCAAATTCATGTGCGCACAGCCCTCAAGTGCTAATCTCCACTTAACCTTCCTCAGACTGGATGGAAACCTCCAGAGGCTGCACACAATGTGGCAGACGATGTTTGTGGACATGAAGAGCCTGCTGTCCTGGCAGTACCTGATGAGAGACATCCACATGATCAAAACATGGAACATCACCATGGTAACACAAAAATGAGAGAAAAAATAAACCAACAGTGCTTTTAAGTTGTTATAAAATCCCTGAAGCACAGTGCCAGATTTTATAAAACATGAATGTAAGACAGGAGGGAAAACAACTGAAATGTTTTACTTTTAAATCAGCATCAAAATCCTGGGGAATTGTAGACGAGTAGTTTACATTGTCTCTGGCACTTTTCAACAGTTTATCCGGTTGCTGCATTAATATCTGCAGCATTTAAACATGTGGAAACAGAGTCCACCTTTGTGTACTATCAGCAAAAAATAACTGACAGCCAGCAGCCTTTCGCACCGGCTAACTTAGGTTCATATGAAGGCTAGTTTAATTGTTTCAACCAATTTGTGAAACATGGTTTATGCATGCAGTGGTTATGTTAACTTTATTTGATTTATCTGGTTTATCCTCTCCTCTAGCTGTTGAATAAGTTAGCCAGTAATGACATACTTTACACTCTACTAGTAAATTTACTGTGAATTATTTATCTAAATAAAGGCACAGATTTGTGCTGAACTAGTGTTTTCATGACGTTTGATATCCATCTTCCTTGCCCACTTTCATCTGCACCCTTGTAGTTTAAGACCATGAGGGTGGAAGAGTACCGACTGGCACTGAGGAACCTGGAGCTACACTACCAGGACTTCTTGAGAGACAGCCAGGACTCTCAGATGTTCGGGGCCGAGGACCGAATGCAGGTGGAGTCCAACTACAACAGAGCCACCCAGCACTACAACACTATGGTCAGCTCTGCAGAGCAAGGTGTGGACTTCTTTTTCATTATGTACCATTGTCGGTTCTTTTATCATCATGAATAAGACACATTTATTTGAAGTTTTTCTTACTGAATCATTTCTCAGACATTTATGTTAAAATTCACTCATGGTCATTGGTTGTAAGTTGACTGTTGGATTCGCATTACAGGCTATGTGCCACCCAGGGCAGGTAAGGGGCTTCAGTTGCAGCACCAAATGTGCAGGAGGAGCTTTTGATTGGCTGTTGTGCTTTCATGTTTCATTTCATTCATTAACACAATCAGCTTCATCATCCTCACTGACTTTGAAATTCCTCCTAACCCACTTGTTGTTGCATTCTTGTCTCTGTGCATGGGTTTCATGGCAGCTGATTTCCAATCTTGATCACTGAATGATTTAATCAATTATTTGCTAGATTAACCACTATGACAGATAACAAAACATCAAGAAGTAATCTTATGAAGAAGTACATTTATTCACAAATCATAGAGGAATTGTACTAATGGTTCTGTAATTTATCAAGACAAATTTTCCAAAGTATTCATAGTACTATTATGTAAAATGTAACTGTTAAATAACATTTAAATGAGTTTAAGATGCTACTAATGCTAATACTAATACTGTATGTTTAATGAGTATGCTCTGTTTTTATGCGTGTATCAATACACCATAGAATGTGCCATGAACTGATTTTATATTAAAAGCTATGTCAAAGATAAAATGCAACTCTGACGTACAACCGGCTTATTTATCCAGAGTTAGTGTTTTCTCTTCAAAATAATAATCTATATAAATGTTTTTCAATCCAACCAGGAGAGCAAGATGAGTCTGTGTGCAAGACTTACCTGACGCAGATCAAGGACCTTCGTCTGAAGCTGGAAGGTTGCGAGAATCGAACAGTAACACGCCTCCGCCAGCCTGTGGACAAGGAGCCACTCAAGGCCTGCGCCGCGAAGACTGCAGAGCAAATGGTAATGACATGAGAATTTAAAACATAAACACAAAGTCAGGTACAGAAGGAAAGGGAACTATCGAAATTAAATAAAGTGTTCCTTCATTCAGATGTACTTTGCTTGTCAGCTTAGTTATGGTTCAAAACTCAGTAGATATCCTGTTTCATATCCCCTCTAACTCTATTTGTTTTTACTTATATACTGAAGGTATATTATCGGCTGTAATATTTAATATTATATACTACCTTTTTTTCATTAATCAGAAAGTCCAGTCCGAGTTGGAGGGCTTAAAGAAAGACTTGAACTCCATCACTGAGAAGACTGAGGAGATTCTGGCGTCTCCTCAGCAGTCCAGCTCTGCCCCAATGCTGCGCTCCGAACTGGACATCACACTGAAGAAGATGGATCATGTCTATGGCCTCTCGTCCGTCTACCTGGACAAGTGAGTCTTTATGACTCCCTGATCGCTTTCTGATACATTTCCGACTGTTACTGTGCTTTTAATAAAGTGTAAACCTTGTGATTTCAGGCTGAAGACCATTGATGTTGTGATCAGAAACACTAAAGATGCAGAAGACACACTGAAGAACTATGAGACTCGTCTGCGTGATGTTAGCAAGGTGCCAGCTGAAGAGAAGGAGGTGGAGGACCATCGTAGTCAGCTGAAGGTATTTCTCCTTTTTTGAAATATGTTAACGGTTCATCTATATCTACAATCAATGTTCAGATTTTGTTTTCTGTTTTGAAATGAATGAACCTTTAACCTGTGTCATGCTTGTTTCAAAACTGGACTGTATGCATGCTCTTTTGTCTTACAGTCGATGCATGCTGAAGCAGAGGCCGACCAGGTGGTATTTGACCGCCTGCAGGATGAGCTCAAGAGGGCAACAGCTATCAATGACAAGATGACAAGGATCCACAGCGAGCGTGACGCTGAGCTGGAGCATTACCGCCAGCTGGTCTACAGCCTCCTGGAGCGCTGGCAGGCGGTGTTTGCCCAGATCGACCTGAGGCGGCGGGAGCTGAACCTCCTCGGGCGCAACATGAACTCCTACAGTGAAAGCTATGAGTGGCTCATCCGCTGGCTGGGAGAAGCGAGACAGAGGCAGGAGAAACTTCAAGCTGTGCCTATTGGCGACAGCAAGGCTCTCAAGGAGCAACTGGCAGAGGAGAAGGTATTTTTAAGAAAGGAACAAGCTGTGTGGGGTAAAGGGACGAAAGGTCATTATGCCCTCTGGTGGTCACACTGATGTAGTAAGAGTTCTTTCTTTACTGATTTTAATTACTCACTGGCTAAATTTGACTTAGTGTGTTTAAAGTAATTATGATAAGGGTAGTAGCTGTGGCTTTTTTGTAGAAAAAACTGAAATACACTATCAATACTTTTTCAATAGTGAAATATTGTCTTCTTTTAATGATTAATTTATTTTCTACAGAAACTCCTGGAAGAAATTGAAAAAAACAAGGACAAGATTGAAAGTTGCCAGAAAAATGCAAAGGCTTATATTGATTCAGTCAAGGTATGTACAGGTATTTTTAGCTACACAAGGAAAAGGAAGGTTTTTTTTGGCTTGATTTGAGAAAATGTTCTTCTTTTTTTAGGATTACGAGCTCCAAATTTTGACTTACAAAGCCCTCCAAGATCCCATAGCATCTCCTTTAAAGAAAGCCAAAATGGAGTGTGCATCTGATAATATCATTCAGGAGGTAGGTTTTACGAGTTTATCTCCTGATAAGGGCAATGACCTGTGCATACATCCAGTTTGGGTGTTGTGATTGATATCTGCTACCTGTATAAGCCTGGAAACTTGAATATATTATAAAGACATGTATGTTTTTAAAGTCAAAGTAAATACACTGTTAACTTTTCTGTGCCACTGCATCCCTACAGTATGTTACTCTGAGAACCCGCTATAGTGAGCTGTTGACGCTCACCAGCCAGTACATTAAGTTCATCACAGAAACACAGCGCCGCCTGGAGGATGATGAGGTAAGTACACACAAATGCTGAAGACATCTAGCAGCAGGTTCCCACTAACACAAACAAATGATTAATTGATGTATGGGAAATTATTTGTCATCAAATACTTCCAAAATGTTGGCACTCAAAACTTATGATTCTTCAAAGTCCAAATCTGTTGAGCGATAGGACAGCGTACATCGATGAAGCAAACGGTTTCATCCTAGTGTTTCAGCACATTACATCCCCACTACAGTTTATGTCTCTCATTCCCTGACACTGTGTATTTAGTCGAATCATGTCACATAGTCTGTACATATGACCCTGATTTATCCCGCAGGCATCAGCCCTGAAATCAGTCACATTTTCCAACTGCTTCTACAACAATTTATGATTTAGTATTTGCTTTTTTATTTCCTCTTGAAATCACCCACACCTGTGATTTGAAGGCTTCAGTTTGGCTACCTGCCTTCAGATATATTTTTAATCTACCTTACCTTTACTTTCTCCCTTTTCTTCTTTTCTAACTTCCTATTGTGTTGTGATCCTTTTGACCTGCTCGCCAGTGCTTTGTCATGATGAATATTAATCACGCGCTTAAGAGATGAATTAACCCCAAAGTACCAGGTATTTAAAAAAGACCCTCTCAGTTCGTGTCATTCCTGTCTACATCAGACCCTTGTCTATAGTGAAGGGAAGGTTCAGGATTTTGTGGACACCTTTCATAATTGAGATTGTTGTTTGTTCATAAAAAATATCTTTTATAATAAATATCTTTTACTGAGCAATTGGCTTCATCTTCCTGTAAGCAAGTGTAAATGTCAACTTTAATGAAATATTAAAGTTATTATATTTATTTCTGTTGTTTCAATATAATAATTTTGCATTTAAAGTCTATTTAAAGGACTTATTTAATTTAATCTGCTGATTTAGTTGATTAATCTTTCAGTCTATGAAACATTAAAAAAAAAGGAAAACAATGCCCATGACTATGCAGAGCTAAAAGTGACATGTTCAAATGTCTTGCTTTGTTCAACCAAAAGTCCAAAACCCGAACATATTCAGTTTACAATCATATGTAAAAAAGAAAATCCTCTCATTTGAGAAGTTAGAAGAAAATCTTTGAATTCTTTTTCTGATTTAAAAGTGGCTGAAACAATTAATCAGTTATCAAAATAGCTGGCAATTATTTGTCTGTCGATTGAATAATCAATTCATTGACTAATCAATTCATTGACTACTTGTTTCAGCTTTAATACTGTTCTTTTTCTCCACTGATTTGCACTAGCAAATAAATATAGGAGGCTGGTGCTGATATACCCGAAATAATTGTCTCAACCCGAGCTTAATTAGAGATCAATATGAGAGGTTTCTAAAGTTGTGGACCTTCCTTTTAGTTGTCAATCACGCATACAATCACACACTGCATCGCCCATTCTCACTAAAGTATAGAACTCATCTCTTGATGTTTACTGTTGTCAGATTAATGTACCTTGATCTTGGATTCATGAGTCGTCACTTAGATTTTAATCCAAGCTTACTTCAGATTCTCTGTTACATCAAATCATGCTGTGTTTGCTGCATCAGTATGCTATTCTTCATAGTGAGGGTATTCTGGTTGAATTCTGACTTGCTGTGATGCAGTTCCATATAATCATATTTATTTAAACTATTGGGCTGTTTCATAACTTCTTTACAAGATCTTTAGTATTTTCCCACTGTGCATAATGCATTTTGCATGCTGCTAATTATTTATTCCCTACCTATTTCTTCTCAATCACTTCACACATTTTACAAAAAGCTGCTTTATTTTGAGTATGTAAAGACTGAGTTGAGACAACTCAAAATATGAAATGGTGACTGATTTATGTGACAGTTTTCCTGCAACACACTTATCACTCCTTGACAATACTTAAACTAAAATATAGGTTTGCTATTATTACTTGTACAAAGGCTACAGGTAATGTGATTAATGTATTGTTTGTAACAAGTCCATAACATACAATACTGATTATGTAAAATGTGACCAGGCCTTATAACACAGATTATATATAAGACATTGATCAGGTAAAATTAAACCTCAACTGCATGAAAGTAAAGTGTAGTGCCGTGCTGTGTTGTGACGTAAAGTGTCATTCTGTGTGCCATACATTAAATAAACATGACAAGCATTTCCCAATACAATATCTTCCCTCTGGTTAATCTTATTTGTTGTATATAAGTAGCTGTGACATATTCTCATGTATTTACATTTTCATGTACCTACATGTTTTATAACTACTTTAATATTGAAGTTTTATTTTATAGTCTAACACCTTTAAAATCATCTCAATTCCCTTTACTCCCTCTTTGCTTCTACTAATACAGAAGGCTTCTGAAAAACTAAAAGAAGAGGAGAGGAAAAGGATGGCAGAGATACAAGCTGAGTTAGATAAACAGAAACAGTTGGCTGAGGCTCATGCTAAATCTGTGGCCAAAGCAGAGCAAGAAGCCCAGGAGCTGAAGTTGAAGATGAAGGAAGAAGCCAGCAGGAGGCAAGATGTTGCAGTGGATGCTGAGAAACAGAAGCAAAATATACAGCAGGAGCTGCATCATCTGAAGAGTCTGTCTGAGCAGGAGATCAAATCAAAGGGTCAACAGCTGGAAGAGGCCCTACTCAGTCGTACCAAAATTGAGGAAGAAATCCACATAATTAGAGTCCAGTTAGAGACGACAATAAAACAGAAGACCACAGCTGAGAACGAGTTACAGACGCTCAGAGACAAGGCTGCTGAGGCTGAGAAGCTCAGGAAAACTGCTCAGGAGGAGGCAGAAAGGCTTCGCAAGCAGGTCGCTGAAGAGACTCAGAAAAAGAAAAATGCAGAGGATGAACTGAAACGTAAATCTGAGGCAGAAAAAGAGGCTGCCAAGCAGAAGCAGAAAGCAATGGATGACTTGCAGAAATTCAAAATGCAAGCTGAGGAGGCAGAAAGGCGCATGAAACAGGCTGAGGAGGAGAAACTGAGGCAGATCAAGGTTGTAGAGGAGGTGGCACAAAAGTCTGCTGCCACCCAGTTGCAAACCAAATCCATGTCATTCAATGAAAAGGCAACAAAACTAGAGGAATCCCTTAAGAAAGAGCAGGGTACTGTCCTTCTGTTGCAGGAGGAAGCTGAAAAACTCAGGAAACAACAAGAGGAAGCTAACAAAGCCAGGGAGCAAGCAGAGAAAGAGCTTGAAACATGGAGACAGAAAGCCAATGAGGCTCTCCGCTTGAGGCTACAAGCTGAAGAGGAAGCTCAAAAGAAGAGCCAGGCTCAAGAGGAAGCAGAGAGGCAGAAAGTTGAGGCAGAGCGGGATGCCAAGAAAAGGGCAAAAGCTGAAGATGCTGCTCTTAAACAGAAGGAGAATGCAGAGAAAGAGTTGGAAAAACAGAGGAAATTTGCAGAACAAATAGCCCAGCATAAGTTGTCTGCAGAGCAGGAATGCATCCGACTAAAGGCTGACTTTGAACATGCTGAACAACAGAGGGGCCTGTTGGATAATGAGCTCCAGCGTCTAAAAAATGAGGTGAATGCTGCTGAAAACCAGAGGAAACAATTGGAAGATGAACTGGCTAAAGTCAGAAGCGAAATGGACGCTCTTCTGCAGATGAAGATTCAAGCAGAGAAGCAGACGCTGTCGAACACTGAAAAGAGCAAGCAGCTTCTTGAGTCTGAAGCATTGAAAATGAAACAACTTGCTGAGGAAGCAACTAGACTGAGATCAGTTGCTGAAGAGGCTAAGAAGCAGAGGCAGATTGCAGAGGATGAGGCAGCACAGCAGAGAGCCGAGGCTGAAAAAATACTTAAAGAAAAACTGTCTGCCATCAACGAGGCGACTCGTCTGAAGACTGAGGCTGAGATCGCTCTGAAAGCTAAAGAAGCTGAAAATGAAAGACTGAAAAGAAAAGCTGAGGATGAAGCTTATCAGAGAAAGCTGCTGGAGGATCAAGCTGCTCAGCATAAACAAGACATAGAAGAGAAAATCACACACCTGAAGACCTCATCTGATTCTGAGTTAGAGAGACAAAAAACGATTGTGGAAGAAACTCTGAGGCAAAAGAAGGTTGTTGAAGAAGAAATTCACATCATTAAGATCAACTTTGAGAGAGCATCAAAAGACAGGTCAGATTTGGAGATTGAATTAAAGAAACTGAAGAGTATTGCAGAGGAGACACAGAAGAGCAAACTCAAAGCTGAAGAAGAGGCTGAGAAGCTGAAAAAGGTTGCTGCAGAGGAAGAGAAGAAAAGGAAAGAATCTGAAGAGAAGGTGAAGAGGATTACTGCAGCAGAAGAAGAGGCAGCACGACAGTGCAAAGCTGCTCAGGAGGAAGTTGAACGCCTCAAAAAGAAAGCTGCTGATGCAA